AGGCGGGCGGATCACGAGGTCAGGAGTTTGAGGCCACCCTGGCCAACATGGCAAACCCCGTCTCTACTAAAAATACAAAAATCAGCCAGGTGTAGTGGCGGGCACCTGTAATCCCAGCTACTTGGGAGGCTGAGGCAGGAGAATTGCTTGAACCCGGGAGGCAGAGGTTGCAGTGAGCTGAGCTGAGATTGTGCCATTGCATTCCAGTCTGGGTGACAAGAGTAGGAGTCCATCTCAAAAAAATAAAAACTAAAAAATGAGAGATTTTAATAGCTAAACATATTTTTCCCTGGTTTGTTTTATAGATGTACAACTAATATACAGACTTTCTTCTCCTCTGTCCTCTACTCTTTCATTCAGGGTGAGTTGATGGTAGCTAACCTCATAACTTAGTTTTTAGGTTACAGGATACCAAAGGAAGATAGTGACTGAAAAGGAAAAAGAAGGACCATCATAAAGAGAAGACAAATGACTGATAAGACTTTGGGTATCTCCTTCCAAGGAAGATAATGAGGGCATCTTCATTTGCAAGAGAGATAGTCACAGAAACGAGGTGAAAGCATTATGTTGTCATTCTCATTGTTTGAAAATTAATGTGGGTAAAAGGCTATGCATGGATGCTGAGCACCTGAAGCAGTGAACTGCACCAGACTATCCACTAGCAATGCAGGATCACTCTTCTGTGATCCCCCAAGAGTTCGGAAGTCTGGAGCATTTCTTAGAATCTTTTGCTACCATTTTCCACGCTAGATGCCATAAATGAGAGGTACTTCTGTGGGATTTGGAGAATGGAAGAGAGGCAGAGTATTATTATTTTCCCCCCGGTAGCAGTGGACAGATATATACACTTCAGCAGATATGGACGAAACTAGGGGCACAGCTATAAATAAGAGAGAGATTTAAAAGTTAATAAGATAATTCTATCAACAGCATTTTAAAACTTGAAGAAAAAGACCAATTTCTAGGAAAATATCTTACTACATCTGGCTCAAGAAGAAATTGGAAGTCCCCCAGATCCTGTTACTGTTAATCAAATTGAAGAAGTCATGAAAAAATCTGTCAACAGACTTACGTTTTCACCTGTAAAAAATTGACTGTTATAATAATTCTCTTTATGGAGAATTAGAAAACTGGATAAAATATATGAAACAATGGCTTTCAGACATTGGACAACAGGCAACATATAACTATGATCTCTGAGAGAAAGAGAACAAATAAGGTGAGCCCTGGGATTACCCAGTTTACAAAGACAGAGAACACCAGAAATCTGCAGAGGAATCTTTTTGAGTCTTTGGCTGAGAAGTAACCTATGTATGCATCCAGTGAAACACGATGAAGCCAGATAAAGGACAACTAGAATGTAGTAAACTAAACAATTTCTGGAGCTCGCACAGGGCTGTGAGTAGTTTGTGTTACTACTGGCCAGAAGGATCATGCTTTGTTAGTAAGCCCTGAAAGTTTGAAACTAACCCCAAGTAAATTTTTTTTTTTTTTTTTTTTTTTTTTGAGGCCGGAGTCTCACATCTGTCATCCAAGTTTGGGAGTGCAGTGGCATGATCTTGGCTCACTGCAACTTCTGCCTCTGGGTTAAAGCGAGTCTCCTGCCTCAACCTCTCCGGTAGCTGGGATTACAGGTGTGTACAACCATGCCAGGCTAATTTTTGTATTTTCAGTAGAGACAGGGTTTCACCATGTTGGCCAGGCTGGTCTCGAACTCCTGACCTAGTGATCCACCTGCCTCAGCCTCCCAAAGTGCTCAGATTACACGGTGTGAGCCACCACGCCCGGCAAACGCCCAAAGCAATTTTAACCACATACCACAATAATGTCAACATTCTAAAGAAATACCACGTATCAAGCACCTTGAAGGTAACTTGAGCGGGGAATCGATACAGAAAGAGAAATACAGAAGTATGTATTAGGTACTGAGCTTAAACCTGGGTGATGAAATAATGTACAACAAACCCCCGTACACGTGTTTACCTATGCAGCAACCTTTTACATGTACTAACCCGACCTAATAAGTTAAAAAGGAAATAAAGTTCCCAAAACTTTATTTCCCTCTAGCTTCCTTTTCCAGAGCAAGTGACTATAATCATGACAATGTTTCTAACTAATGTCACACATAAAATATGATAACCAATTGGAGTATATAGCTTGCAAGTACACTGGGAATTAAAGAAACAAGACAGCTCATCAGTGTTAGTTCAGGAACGCCTTTTGAAACAATGTTCCTGTCTACATATTTGGGTTTCTGATTACCTAACTTTCCTTTCTTGTCTACATTTCTCAACAAACATTTTTAGTTTTTATCTTAGAGTATTCATCATGGGCTCAACTTATAATTTCAAAGTGAAGTATGATTCAGAATGCCCTTGATTTTTAGCCCTTCATACCCTTGTTGGTTATCTAAAAGTTACCTGCCTTCTGATGTCCTATCAGTATGCTAAAAGTAGGAGACTATGATACTATATTTCCAAAGATTTTTCCTCAGAGAAGTGAAG